ATGTAAACACTGCCTTTTCAGAGAAAAGGCAGTTGTACATTACAGCCTAGGCACATCTCCAGTGGCTACTCCTCAGACTGCCACTGGAGGTGCTTCCTAGGTCAGTGCTGCACAATGTGCAGCACTGACATTCAATGTCTTAACCCTCTGCATGGAGATATTGAACTTTCCCAATAGAGATTCACTGATTCAATGCATCTCTAGATGCTGGTTTGCTAGGGCAATGTTTGGCTCTGGCCCCAGCCCTCCTCCTTTGCTGAGATCTTCAGAATTGAGGATCTCAGCCAATCCAATGGTTTCCTACTGGAAAGCATTGTGATTGGCTGAGATCCTCAATTCTGTTAATGATATTCAAGGAGGTCAGTCGGGGGCAGAACCAGCTCCGGCAGACCCGCAAAGCACTGGAAATAAGGTGAGAGTTTACAAGCTTTAAGAAGGGCAAGGGGAAGACAAGTGGGCTAAATAATTAGTTTTACACTATAGGGTCAGGAATACACCTTTGTGTTCCTGAAGTTTAAACTGGTATAATAAATATCCTCCTTTCAGGGAGGTAGAGGTATAAGAAAAGGCATTTATAGAACCTCCTAATCCCAGCCCTTTGCCTCTTCCTTACAACCACAGCAGTAGTGTTAAACACCTCCCCCTTAGAATAGTATACAATCACAGGTGAAGTCAACCACAGGCTGAGCTCACTACGTATAGAACCCCTGCTTTTCCAGCACCATACTGACTTCCTGTTCACCAGGGAGGTAACCTGGCAACAACTCTGCCAATGTGACCCACCCAAAATGGCAGCTGAAGAGGTAGGGGGGTCTGGTTAAATAGCCAGACAAACCCCTCCAACAACTCCAGGCTGTCACCTTTACATATGTATATGGTCAGATCAAGTTTTCAAAAATGATGTTGTGCAAATGGTGGCCTCATCCATGAAAATATTCCCTATAATGAAAAGATAATAATGCACAGTTCACCTCCATACAGATCGGAGAGCTAACCTCTAGCAAAACACTGATTATACACAACAGGAAAGAGTGTATTACGGAAAAATAATCCCATTAACCGGTTGGGGGGGGGGAAATAAAGGTTGAGTCATTTATGAATGTCCAAAATCCGTAGAAGGCATTATGTACCTAGATCACACACTTTAACTTGTCATATGTTTTATATAAGATGTATTTTTGTTTTTGTTTTTTTAAATGTGGATTAGGGCTTGTTTTACAGTTAGCGATCAGATTAGAGTATGGTTAAGACTAGAGTCAGGAATTACTCTTAATATCTTAGTAAAACACCCTAACATACAAGTCCTAGTCTGTACAAATTTGTTGAGACCTAAATTCCTCCTTAACCCTTCCAGCACCACAGCCTTGTTATATTTGTTATACAACCTCTTTCCTGGCTCAAAACAGTTAACAAATACATATTAATTCTCTCACCTAAGCCTTGTCTACATTCCACAAACTAATTAATTCCACCAATATGTTTCACATCTCAGCTGATGCTAATTTCTTGATATAAATTAGTTTAATTCAAACATCCAGGTATCATTGTTCTCATAGTATGTCACATTTATCATCCATAAACCCATGTTGCAAAGTTACTTGTTAACTTTGTAAGATGTCTTTTATGCAACTATGTGCCAGTACCAAGCCTATTACAATTTTCCTTCCTTTTTAATATAATAACAAAATTGCACTCTCTCAATAACTGTGTATTTTTTTCTCACTTTGTAGCATGTTTACACTGAGCCTGTAATTGATCTGACAGTTATAGACAGTTGATAGTGGGCAGTATGGTACATATTTAATTGGCAATGTGCTGGGAATTCTAGTGAATAAGAACAATATATAATTACTTAGAATTCTATATTCTTCCCCCATCACTTTGCACAGTTATTCATAAACAAGTGCACTGCCTGTCATTCTAGAGTTGACTATTAGAAACTTTAGACTTAGTGTCACAAACCATTAAAAATGTCATGCTTTGTACCATAAACTACAAGAAATATTAGTCGTAATCAATTAGACTTCAGTCGAAATAAAATTTTGAAAGACATTTCACTGTATTAAAAAAAAAGCATAGATGTAGAACAAAAATAGTACATTAGTTCATTCATGCTCTAATATATTAAAATGTCAAATTAATTCCATGACAATCTCATGGTGTGACATGTACATTATAGCATTATACTGTATTAGTGTGCTCTTTCCTAGGAATGTCTACAGAAAATGTATAATGCAGAGTTGACATAACTATATGGGAATTCCTAAAAGTCAGTGTATTAAAGGAATACTCAAAGCACCAGGACTTTAGCATAATCAAATGGTTTTTTTTTCTGTTTGTTTGTTTTTTCTATGTATATAGATCATACTTCTGCAGTTTCACTGCTCAGTTCTCTTCCATTTAGGATTTAAATGACTTAGTTTATAGCCACACTTCTACTGCCTGAGACTCACATAGTAGAGGTGTGTGGGCAATTATCTGGTCCTTAATCTGTGAAGGAATAAGTGCCCACAGGGCTTTGGGCAGCGTACCAGTTTCCCCTCATATACTTTTACTATAGGGATGATGAATGGGGTCAAATATCTTCATGGCGTCTAGGCCTATGTCTAACCCCTGGTTCCAAGATGGCTTTCTTATCACCTTATGGTTACTTCAGCTATGACTTTGAGTCTGGGCGTCCATCTTTGTATATCTGGGAGCAGTGTGGGGAACTGCAGGATGAATGGGCAAACCTACAAATCATCCAGCCCACAAAAGGGGCATTGATGCCTTCTCACCAAAGGGGGACATCTACTTAAATAGGTCCCTAGAGACTCAGAGACTTTGCTTTGTCCTTTCTCTGTATACGGAAACCATTCACCCAAAACCGTTAAAAAAATCCTACATTGCATCACACTCCACGGAAAAGCAAACAAGAAAAAATACATTAATGAAAAATCTGCACAGTTAAGCACAAATTGGTAGTCTCAATACTTGAAACAATGTCTGGTGTCTTAGTACATTATCCTGTAGTGCAGGTGGGGAACCTTTTACCAGTGCAGAGCTCGGACTCAAAGAAAAATGTACCAGGGGCCAATGTATTTTGAATATTTGTTCAGTGTTCTATGACATATGAATTATTTGTTATGCCGTTGAGATAATATTTTTCGATAAACTTTTTAAATTAATTTTCAAAATACTACAATATCAAATATATATCATGCATAAAAAATTATATCAATATATCAAAAATATAAACAAAATTGAAATACATCATTTTAGAAATGTATTTAAAGATATTAAACCATTTGAAAAGCATGTCCAAAAATATTAAATGTCGAGCTGAAGTTGCACTACAATATGATACGGACAAATGTTATATGAAGTCAATAGCGTGCACCAAGTAAAAATGAGAACCTTTTGACTTTCCCCCAGCTGTTTTCTGTTTTTTAACTTTGCCCTAATTTGTTATTAGCATCACTTTGATCGTGTTTATTTTATATAGCACATTTTGTTTTTACATTGGGCACTTAAGACTCTCTTCAATTTGTTTATCCCTTCTGGTAGAACATCACACCATATGGATCGGGGGTTTTGGAATCTAGAAAATTGGTTTGTTAGACCTCTGGACCACTATTTAGAATGCAATATGTTGTTTAACAATAAAATATAAAACAAAGAGCTTCTGCTAAATCTACATTTAAACTAAAAGAATGTAAGCATTCCATTAATTGGAAACAAGTGTTACATGGAGTCAATAAACCTTAATACAACAAGTAGAACTTCCTAGCGTGGGGTTGAAGGTTCATAATTTGCACAATTAATGGTTCTTAAACTGTTACACTGCTCTTAAGAATTCCACATGTACTTTTGACTATATAACATAAAACACAGTTCCTCTCTCTGTCTATTAAAATTACTTTTCTATCTCAAAGAATGTAAGAATTCCATTAATGGAGAAAAATTTAACATTAAGCCAATAATGTGAAAGATAGAGCTCTTAATGGGTGCTATAGCAATAACCTATACATGTTTTTTTTAAGAAATGGCACTACATGTTTATGAAGAAGAAACAAATGTTAATGGATCTTCTAGCAATTTTCCTTTTAAAGTGACTAGATGAAAAAAATAATATATCAGTAATTGTATCTTAATCACTAACTTAATATGAAAGTTAGTACTTCGAAACCGGTTGGAATAATAGTGAAGTTATAGTTTCTATTGCCCTTTTTTTGCAGAATAAATGTAATTCAAAAATGTCTGGAAGATTATTTATTATGAAAATCAGTTTTTTTCAAAATCTTGTAAACTGCTTGATAAAAGAGAATATTCTCTACAAGAAAGGCTAAATTGACCATTCGTCATTTTACAGAAAACCCACAGTCTAAATTGATATAAATTCTTCTCTTACCAACCCAACTATTTGGGTCTATCCAGGGCCGCCATCAGGGCATGAAGTCGATCCTGGGGGGCCCAGACAGCTCTGGGAGTCCCAGGCCCCACATTACCTGTGCACACACACACATATATATATATATATATATTTATATATATATATATATAGCGATTTTCACTATATATATATGTGTACTTGCGGGCAGTGTGTTTGTGTAGTGAAGACAGAGTGTGTGTTTGTATAGTGGATATAGTGTGTGTGTGTGTATAGTGAATGCAGAGTGTGTATAGTGAAGGCTGTTTGTGTGTATTTAATGCAGTGTGCATAGTGAATGTGGAGTGTGTTTGTGTAGTGCATGTAGTGTGTGTGTATAGTGGATGTAGTGTTTGTGTAGGTATGTAATGTCTGTAAAACAGTGGGGGGGAGGGCATTTTAATTTTTTTAATATTTTATTTTTTAACATTTTATTTTTTAACATTTTATTTTACTCCCCTCTCCCTGCTTCTTATCTGGCCAGGGAGGGGGGAGATTTAATTCCCTGGTGGTCCGGTGGCTTGGAGCTCGGGTTACCATGGCAACGCTCCACGCGGCACGCAGGCCATGAGAGTTAGAGTCAAGAGCTGCTGGGAAGGGAAGTGAGAGTGTGCTGTGGGCCCCCTCTGCAAAAAACAGGTAGCAGGGGGCCCACAGCACACTCTCACTTCCCTTCCCAGCAGCTCCCCTGTCTAAATCTCGCATGTCCCACGGCCATCAGAGAGTTTCCACGGGTTACCATGGCAACGCTCCACGCAGGCCACGAGAGTTAGACAGGGGAGCTGTGGGGAAGGGATGTGAGAGTGTGCTGCAGGCTCCCTCTGCAGAGTACAGCGGCTGGCTCAGAGCTCAAAGCCACCGGACCATCAGGGAATAAGTTCTCCCCCCTCCCTGGCCAGGTAAAAAGCAGGGAGGGGGAGTAAAGTAAAATGTTAAAAAATAAAATATATTTTTTAAAAATGTTTAAAAAATTAAAATGCCCTTCCACCCCATTTTACATACATAACATACCTACACAAACACACACCGCATCTAATACACACACACTACACGCACTGCAGAAACACACACTCCACATTCAATATGCACACTGCATCTAATACACATAAACAGCTAAACACACTCTGCATTCACTATACACACACACTACATCCACTAAACTAACACACTCTGCCTTCACTACACAAACACACTTTGCATTCACTACACGAACACACACTACATCCACAACACAAACATATACTCTGCATTCACTACCCTAACACACACTCTGCATTAACTACACACACACTGCATCTGCTACACAAAGACACACTCTGCATTCACTATACACACACCGCATCTAACACACACAAACACTACATCCACTACACAAACACACACTCTGCATTCACTATACACACACCGCATCTTATACACACAAAGACTACATCTGCTACACACACTCTGCATTCACTATACACACACTCACACTACATCTACTGCACAAACACACACTCTACATGCACTACACACATCGCATCTAATACACACAAACACTACATCCACTACACATACACACACTACATCCACTACACAAACACACACTCTGCAACTAATATACACCTCATACATTACACAAATGTACAATCTGCATTCATTACACACACACCGCATTCACTTTACACATGCACTCTGCATCCACTACACATATTCTATATCCACTATACACACACCACAATCAGTGCACACACTGCATCCCTGTGGGCGGACTTGGGGGCAGCCCTGTGGGCAGACTTGGGGCAACAAGACACACACACTCACTCACTAACAGACACACACAAACACACACTCACTAACAGACACACACTCACTAACAGACACACACACACACATTAACACACTCACATTTTTTTTTAAATTCAATCCCCCAGCCTCCCTACCTTTGGGAATGCTGGGGAGGATTAACACTTTCCCTGGGGTCCAGTGGGGCTGCTGGGCGGGCGGCCGGTCAGTGCTGTCAGCAGGGGAGCACTTTCCCCTTAGCTCTCTGCTCAGATCCCTCGCGCACCGCATAGTGATGCCGGAGCCGGAATGACGTCATATTCCGGCTCTGGCATCACTGCAGTGCTCGCGAGGGAGCTGAACAGGAGATTCACTGCTCCCTTGCCGCCCCCCAGAAAGTGCCGCCCAAGGCAAATGCCTTGTTTGAATCGGGGTAAATGCACCCCTGCATGTAGATTGTCAGCACATTTACAAAGGGTATTCATTATTCACAGTTCTTCAGTGCATGTATATAGTTGTATGACCATATTCTTGCTATTATTTATTTGAGTACTCTGTGTATTATAGTGTATATGTGGATACATTATCAAAATAAAATGATAAAAAAATAATAATCTCAAGAAAGTTGTATATGGCTTTCTTTTTATTTCCTGAGGCATATTTATAGTTTATTGAACATTTTTTGTCGAAAACGTTCTACGGTACCATAATATACCCATGTATACTGCATTCATCTCTAACAAATGAAAGAATCCCACTAAATTACAATACATTACTGTATACATTTTGCTGCCATTTCATAATGTGATACAAATATTGCCCCAGTCATGGGATACACATTTTATTTGTCCAGGATTTGTTTGTATCATTTATCTTTAGAAAGTTCACTTAATGAGTTAACATGCTTTTCAATCTAGCAATTTCTATTGATCTAGCAAAAAGGAAAAGATCTTGCCAAATGATGTGGAAATACCATTAGTGTCTTCAGCAGGGGTTGAAAACCTTTATTACTTAAGTTGTTATTATACTACAACTCCCAATAATCAGTCAGATAATGTTATCTGACATCAAAGAAAATATAATTGAGAAAAAAAAAGTTATTGATGAAACAGTGTGGGAGATGTAATAATAAAAAAAGATTTATTTCCTGAATTTGCAACGTGATCTTAAAACTTATTTTTGTTTTGCATTTGCAAAACTCGCAGAGACTGAGGCAATGAAGTGAATCACTTATACCAAAAAAAATGCCTTTATTGTCTCTCTAAACTAGAGGTCTCAGCTTTTTATTTCATGTTCTCTTGGTTCAGTTGTTGCTATGGACGTTTTTCTGTTGGTAGTTAATTTATTCATTGCAAGCGTGTAATGGTTTTACTTAAATTGTGTCTTTGTCATCAGGAAATTGATACATTTCCCCCAATGTGTAAAACACAGAAGGAATGTAAAATATGATCTTTTTTATAGCATTTATGGAATAATGTTTCTTTTATTACTGTTACATGTTTCAGATATCAGCAGATGTTGTAATGCTGGACAAGACAGTCCATTAAATTACGTTTTAATTCATGTAGATTTCCTTGGTTCAATATATGTTTTTTTCATAAAAGACATGTATGTATAGTATTTGTCTCTGACAAAAGAAAAATTCCTAAAAGCCGGTAAGTTCTGCATTTTGGGTTGGTTTCCATGCCAGCTCATTTTTACTTTTTTTCTGACTTCCAGAATGGATTAATTGGTTTTCAATGCATTCCTATGGGAAACCACGTTTCGGTTTACAAATTTTTCGCAATAAGAAGCATCCCGGAGAATGCATTAAATTCGTAAACCTAGGTCCCACTGTATTTGACTGGGTAACTGTATGTTCTGTCTAGTCCAGGAGGAGATATTTGTTTTTTATACCAATCCAGGTCTTTTCTGTTTCCAGATACTTTGTTGCATAATTGAGCTACATTGGAGACTGGGGGAGATATTCTTTCCTTATACCAATTCAGATCCCTTTGTCTCCAGTTATTTTGCTGCATAATTTAAACTACATTGGAAACTTTAAGCCCAAAGAGAGGTGTGGGGGTTACCCTATTTTTCTATGCTTTATTCATACCAGCTTTAAGTATCTTATTTGGGAATTTGCATTTTTTCGGTCCTGGTAGGGTATAATCTCGTTCTGTACCCACTTAGGCTTTACTTTGCTACTCCCAGATACTCTGCTGTATACCTAGCAGTAATAGAAGTAACCTAAGGGGGTGATCGTTAATATTTTACTTTTTAACTCTCATCCCCCAATCTTTATCTCACTTTTATCCCTCTTTGGGGACTATATAGGAAGGGGTAACTTATCAACTTTTACTCCTTAATTGACCTCCACCCGCTCCATCAGTCTCTCTAGCTAATATATTGAATATTCTTTTTTTTTTATATTACTGCACACTTCTTGTAGCCACCTACTACAATTTGTATATCTACCATAGCTGTGGGGGTTTTTTCAACAAAGATCAATATAGATCTTTTTGATCTGGTGTATACCCTGACTAAGGTTGATACAAATCTGCCCTAATAGTTACAAGTGTATCTATATGTAGAGATACCCAATTGTATGCACCAATCACAGTGCTTTCCCATAGGATTGGCTGAGACTGACAAAGAGGCAGATCCAGGGCAGAGCCAGCATGATTCAAACACAGCCCTGGCCAATCAGCATCTCCTCATAGAGATGAATTGAATCAATGAATCTCTATGAGGAAAGTTCAGTGTCTGCATGCTGAGGGAGGAGACACTGAATCACAGGATGCTGTGCACAGTGCTACCCTATGCTCTGCTGACAGCAGATCTGAGTGGATGGAGGCATATTATGCCTCCATCAACTCCAAAGTCCCTGTGGTTCACTGTGAGTGACTGCAACTGGAGGTGTTCCTAGCTTTCAATGTAAACACTGTATTTTCTCAGAAAATACAGTGTTTACATGGGAAAGGCTGCAGGGAGCTGTAGTTCTCACCTGAACAACCTCATTAAGCTGAAGTTGTTCAGATGACTATAGTGTCCCTTTAACTAACTGGGTTATGCCCTAATTTTTTACCCATTTAGTCCAACCCTTGACTTCAAGGTCAGGTTATTCTGACCCTCTAGTCATTTCTCTTTTTGACATTGTCTATTAGTTTTGTCTTGGCCTCTTTTTCTGATGATGGAAAGATGGAAGCTCTGCAAGTGTAGGTAGGATGACAGTTGGGTTCCTGTGCCGAGTCGAGTCCTCATGGAGAAGCATTAGGAGTGACCGCGCACCTGCTCTTATTCTGCTTTTCTTTTATTTTCATGGCTTTTCACTAAACCGGGACTTGTCAGACTCAATTAAGTGTCTCTTCCCTTAATAAAATTAAAAGATCATATATTTTAATTATTTTCCATTACCCCCATCTCCTGAAGTCATGTTTTCAAAGGGTGTTACACTTGTAAGACACACCTCTCCCGTATAGCCCTAGTTTGGGAAGCATAAACTTGAGTCTCATAAAAGGTTAAAAGTCCACTTAACGTTGGCCTTATGGTATGTAAATAAAACTCTCTCCTCATTCTCAGGATTCCTGTCCAAAGTTCCTGCATTAAATAATTCTGGCTCTTTCTTTCCATTCTGCTCATGCTGCTCTCACACAGCGCTTGCCTCTCTTCCCTTCTTTCCCTTGCAGGTATTGCTCTCCCTCATGCTGAAGGCAAGCAGGATAGACACCCATAGGAAAGTTTCCCTGATTAACAGATGTGAAGATTCTAGCCTTGTCATCTCTGTAAAAGCCTTGTCATCTCTTGGAAAGGACTGATTTGACTAGCAGGAGGGGGAAGGGCTGTTGTGTAAGCTCTTATATGAGAGAATATCTAGACATTTGCTAGCAAGTCTGCTATCACAACAAACAAGTGACGTTTTCCTTCTCTATCAT